CTATTAGAGGGCTGATTGAAAAAATGGCGTCCAACTCACAACAATTCAATATGAGGAGTGATGCCATAGTTGTGAAGGGTGTGCATGATGTGGTAGCCTCAAATTCCATAGAACACAAAAAGCTAGAGTGAAAGATTGATGCTCTCACCATATTGGTTTCACAATTGGCTGCAAATCAAAAATCATTCCACCATCAGCAAAAGTATGTGGCATCTGCACTTCAATTAATCATCCAATAGATGTTTGTCCCTCCTTGCAAGACTCTTCTACAGGTCCTGATGCCCCACAAGCATATGCTGCCAACATTTACAACAACAGACCTCCACACCAGCAACAATAGAATTATGATCTGTCTTCCAATAAATACAATCCTGGTTGGAGGAATCATCCCAACTTGAGGTGGGGAAATTCTCAACAGCAGCAGCAAAATCCAGCACCTTTCCAGAATAATCCTTCAAGTTCTACATACTAGCCTCCTCAATAGAGACCTCCTCCTGCCTCTACACCTCCACCAGCTCAACCTTCTACTTCTTCTAAGCCTTCATTGGAGGAGTTGGTGAGGCAGATGACCATTCAGAACATGCAATTCCAGCAAGAGACTAGAGCCTCCATTCAAAGTTTAACAAATTAGATGGGGTAGATGGCCACTCAACTCAATCAGGCATAGTCCCAAAATTTAGACAAGTTACCTTCGTAGACTATGCAGAATCCGAAGAATGTGAGTGCCATCACCTTGAGGTCTGGCAAACAAATTGACATACCAGCACCTACAGCTATACCTACACCTTCATCTGAGCTTACACTTGAGAAAGAGTCCCCTACAGGTAGTACTAGAAAATCTCATTCTGGTGGACCTTCTTCTAGAGCACACAGTGATGATCTACATCAACCTTCTATCCCTCTTCCATTACCACCAAAATCAATACCAAGCAAAAAGATGGAAGAGGTGGATAAGGAGATATTGGAGACCTTCAGGAAGGTGGAGGTGAACAAACCTCTATTGGATGCCATCAAGAAAATTCCCAGATATGCTTAGTTCTTGAAAGACTTGTGCACCCACAAGAGGAAGATGAAGGGCAATGAGCGAATCAGCATGGGCAGAAACGTCTCAACACTCATAGGTAAATCTATTCTACACATTCCTGAAAAGTGTAAGGACCTAGGTACATTTTGTGTACCTTGCATTATTGGTAACGGTAAATTTGAAAATTCCATGCTTGATTAAGGAGCTTCAATTAATGTCATGCCTTGTCCATTTTTAATTCTTTGTCTCTTGGTCCTTTGCAACCTATGGGTGTGGTCATTCAGTTGGCCAATAGGAGTGTTGCCCACCCCACAGGTTTTGTAGAGGATGTCCTGGTTTGGGTTGGTGAACTTATTTTTCCCGCTAATTTTTATGTTCTTAATATGGAGGAGGGATTCTCCCATGGCTCTGTCCCAATCATTCTAGGCAGACCATTTGTGAAAACATCCCGGACTAAGACTGATGTTTATGCTAGAACCTTGTTTATGGAATTTGGTGATATTGTTGTTCATTTTAACATTTTGGATGCCATGAAATTTCCTTCTGAAGCTTATTCTGTTTTTTGTGCTGAATTGATTGATGATCTAGTTGATGAGAACATTCATGATTTTGATTCTTCTCATGCTAAGAAGCATTCATTTTCATTTGTTTTGTATAGTTTGGATAGTTTGGATAGGGTTCTGAATAGATGCATTGAGACTACCCTTGTTCTTAATTTTGAGAAATGTCATTTCATGGTAGAGCAGGGTATAGCTTTAGGGCATATCATTTCTAGTCGGGGAATTGAGGTTGACCCTACAAAGATATCTTTTATTGCACAATTGCCTTACCCCTCTTGCATGCGAGAGGTGCGATCTTTTCTTGGCCATGCAGGTTTCTACAAGTGCTTCATTAAGGACTTCAGTAAGAAAGCCCTTCCACTATCCAGCTTGCTTCAAAAGGATATGGAATTTAATTTTGATGACAGGTGCAAGGAGGCGTTTGATTGCCTCAAGAGAGCCTTGACCACCACTCCTATCATTCAGGCACCACAATGAATAGTTCCCTTTGAGCTGATGTGTGATGCGTCAAATTATGCACTAGGGGATGTCTTAGCACAGAAGGTTGACAAATTACCTAGGGTGATATACTACGCTTCCAAGACATTAGATGTTGCTCAAGCAAATTACACGACCACGGAAAAAGAACTTTTAGCTATTATTTTTGCACTGGATAAATTTTGATCATATTTGCTTGGTTCTCATGTTGTTGTTTTTACAGATCATGCAGCTCGAAAGTACTTGTTGAAGAAGGCTGACTCAAAGCCTAGGCTGATTAGATGGATGCTCTAGCTTCAAGAGTTTGACTTGGACATCCGTGACAGGAGTGGAGCACAAAACTTGGTGGCAAACCATCTTAGCAGGATTGAGAGAGCTGAGGATGATGACACTTTGCCCATTTAGGATGATTTTCCTGATGAACACTTGTTAACTGTTTCTGTTCCTTCCCCCACCCCTTGGTTTGCAAACATTGTCAATTATTTAGTTGCTTCTATTTTTCCTCCTTTAGCATCTAGAGCTTAGATTGATAAACTTAAGAGTGATGGTAAACATTATGTTTGGGATGACCCCTATTTTTGGAAGTTTTACAGTGATCAGGTAATCAAGAGATGCTTGCCGGACCATGAGATTGACTCGGTCCTGTAGTTCTGTCATTCTTCTGCATCTGGTAGTCATCTTGGCATTTAGAGGACATCTCGCAAGGTGCTTGACTGTGGTTTCTACTGGCCAACCATCTTCAAGGATGCGTGGAAGATTTGCAGCACTTGTGAGTAATGTCAAAGAGCAGGAGGAGCCCTTTCTTGGAGATAGCAGATGCCTTAGCAACCCATGCTATTTTGTGAGGTCTTTGATGTCTTGGGTATAAATTTCATGGGTCCTTTTCCTGTCTATTTTGGTTTTTCACATATTCTCCTAGCTGTTGATTATGTTTCAAAATGGATGGAAGCCAAAGCCACCAGAACTAATGATGCTCGGGTTGTTGTGGGTTTTGTTAGATCTAACATATTTTGCAGGTTTGGAATACCTAGAGCTATTATTAGTGATCAGGGCACCCATTTTTGTAACAGATCCATGCAGGCCTTGCTCAGGAAGTATGGGGTTGTTCATAGAGTCTCTACACCCTACCACCCCTAGACTAATGGGCAAGCCAAGATTTCAAATAGGGAGATCAAGAGTGATGGAACTAGTTGAAGGAGATTGATGTTCCTTCAATGATTCCATGCTTAGGACCGAAAATGCTCTTGAGTTGACACCTTCAAAGATACTTAGAAGCTCCACGAAGTGTTCTTCATGGAGTAGAAGCCTTGAAGAGATTCGGTTCTCCTTAGCTTGTTGTAGAAGCTTAAGGAACCTAGGCAAGGTTTGAAACCTTTGGTGAAACCTTAGAGAAGAAATTCTCCACGGTTTTGAGAGACTCTTGATGAGAGAAATCTGAAGTTTATTTCTCAATTTTGTCAAAAGTGAGTACAAGAGAGGTAATTACAAATATATAGGGTAAAGGTAGCTTCTAGGAGAAGCTAACCTTAACCATGGTTCACTAGGAACCATGGTAAGGTATACTTAACTCCCTACGGTTTAGCAAGCTTGTAGGAGAAGCTAACCTTGACCATGGTTCACTTAAGAACCATGGTAAGGTAAGCTTACCTTACTTGAGTTTAGAAGCTTGCAAGGCAAGCTTCAAAACTCAAGAAGTGTAGCTTGAAATTTCGGCCAAGGAGGAAGAAAGAGCTAGGCGGCCTTTGGTTCAAAATGCTCCATGATTTAATTTGAAAATCCTTGATTTGGTTTAGTTAGGTTCATCATATGATGATGAGACCTAGCTAAATCAAATCTATGAAAAATTAGGAGCAAAATGAGTCCAATATGCAAAATTTTGCCTAGGCCCAACTCAGGCCCAATTTCTAAGCACACCCTCAAGCATTGCTAAATGCCACCCCTTTTTCCCTACTGAAAAAATGCAAAATGAATGTATCAACTAAGGAGGTTAAATGGAGTTAAACTTTCCAAGTAACCTACCTCAAAATCAATATACAAACACTAGAAAAAGTAGGTAAAGTGCCTCACAAATACAAAGGCGAAAATGACCTATACAAAAGGCTATGTAGAAAACTGTACAATATAAACAAGTAGAACTAGGCCTTCTCTTCATGATAGAGCATTCCAAGTGAAGATTACCTTGGGCTTGACAAGCCCACTAGTCTTCACAAGGTCCAACTCTTCCTGTATTCTTCTAGCCATAGCTCTGGTAACTAGGCCCTTGGCCCATGGTCTATCAAATAGGATCTTAGAGAAGATTGTGCATCCCAACAGGAAAGATTGGAGCAATAGGCTAGAGGATGCTCTTGAAGAAGCAGGTTGAGGAACTTTTGGAAAAGCAGATGATCAGACCTAGTGTGTCTGCATGGGGAGCACTTGTGTTATTGGTAAAGAAGAAGGATAGTGGTGTGAGGTTATGTGTGGATTACAGGAAGTTAAATAAGTTGACAATCAAGAATAAGTATCCATTGCCAAGGATAGATGATTTGATGGATCAATTGAGGGGAGCTTTTGTTTTCTCCAAGATTGATTTGAGGTCTGGGTATCACCAGATTTGGGTAAAGAAGGAGGACATACCGAAGACTACTTTCAGGACTCGGTATGGCCATTATGAGTATGTCGTTATGCCTTCTGGAGTGATGAATGCTCCAGCTATTTTCGTGGATTATATGAACAAGATTTTCAGACCCTTTCTAGATAAGTTTATTGTTGTATTCATTGATGACATTTTGGTTTATTCTGGATCTATGGAAGAACATAGAGAACATTTGAGGATAGTTTTGCAGGTATTGAAGGAGAAATAGTTGTTTGCAAAGCTGTCAAAATGTGAGTTTTGGCTATCTAAAGTTAAGTTCTTGTGTCATGTGATTTCTGCACAAGGAATTGTAGTTGATCCTACTATGGGGGAAGCAGTTTTGGGGTGGGTGCGTCCGAAATCAGTTACTGAAGTTAGAGGTTTTGTGATATTGGCTGGCTATTATAGGAGATTCATAGAAGGGTTTTCTAAAATAGTTATGCCTTTGACACAGCTGACCAGGAAGGATCATCCTTTTGTATGGACGGAGGAGTGCGAGAAGAGTTTTCAAGAGTTAAAGGAAAAGTTGACGTCATCTCCTGTGTTGATTCTGCCAGATCCCAATAAATCTTTTGAGGTTTATTGTGATGCATCTCATCAAGGTTTAGGATGTGTTCTTATGCAAGATAGGCAGGTTGTGGCTTATGCATCTAGGCAGTTGTCACTTTATTTCCTCCTTCAAATCTTTCAACTATTTTTCCCTTTTCAACTAGAACTGGGTACACCACAATTCCCATAGGAACAATAGTCTTTTTGAACTCATACCTTAAACTCTCACTAAACTTCCTACATCTCTAGCCTTCAGTGATAGCTTGAGAATAGTACCTAGCCAAGTGTTCAAACTTGACCACATACTCTTGTACTGACATATTCCCTTGCTGTAGTCTCAAAAATTTACCTTCCTTAGCATATTTAGCGCTATCTGGAAAATATTTCTCTAAAAACACCTTTTTGAAGTTCTCCCAATTTACTGTTTCCCCTCTAGCCTCCATCATAGCTTGAGCACCTTTCCACCAGAAACTAGCCTCACCCATCAGCATATAAACAACATAAACTAGCTTCCTCTCCTCTGGACAATGCATCACCATGAAAATTTTATCCATCTCCTCAATCCACTGGTCAGCAACTTCAAGTCCATCAACACCTATAAATTAAGGAGGATTCCCTTTTTTGAACTCTGACAAACCCCTGTACTCATCAAGTACCTCAGTCCTAGCTGCTTCAACTATAGCCCAGTTGGTCCGCATTTGAGCTAACAAAGTATTTTGTTGTCCAATAGCAGCAGCAATCAGCTCCATAGCCTGAGCAATTTGTCGCTCATCCACGCTTGAAGAAGGATTAGAATGGTTTCCCCTAATAACCATCCTAATTAAGATAAAAAATCAAGGAACCCATGAGTTTACACTAAAACACATAAGAAATTCCTTTTCAAAATCCATTTCCTCACAATAGAAACATAACAAGACCATTTCCCACAAACCCTAAAGAGACTTAACCAGCTCTGATACCAACAAGTGTAACGACCCGCCGTAGGCCATCACATCAACAACCAATATGACAAATAAAATAAAATAATATATATTAAAGAAAATAGAGCAAAGGCCAGCTACACTAGAGTGTAAATATACAATAATGTATAAATTTTTTTCATCATATAAAACATAATTTTATAAAAGAGTCATCTTCAGCAAGGTTATATAGTCATCCAAAAAGATAATATAATTACAACATCGTGAAAGTATCAAAATAAGACACCCTAGGTGCTGGTCAAGCTCTAAGTCTAGCTACTTCTCAATGCAGCTACCCAAAAGACTCCTTGCCATCCCAAAGCCTCACACCTTCTCTGATGCCCCACATAGTGAGATCATCACAGTCCACATCATGGAAATATAAGGGTTAGCACATATAAAACCAACCATAGTACAATAAAATGAAATATCATTAAACTAGATATTCATCAACAGTATGTATCCATACCAAGGGGATGACAACATTATAACAAGTCATTTCCATGCCAAATATAAACCAATCCAATTTCAAAATGTATACACATCCATGCCAATGGATACATATTCTATGATAATAAAGAATCCATAACCAATGTATACAATCCATACCAAATGCATACATATTCCACATCCAAACCAAAGTCACACCACTGTATAATCCCATGAAGTAGCCAACACATC